TTACTGCTAAGATGGGGGACGGAGCACTTATGAGGAGTCCCAATTGCTAAGATGACAATTCTCCACTCATCATTATTATCCACAGACAGTTATGACCCCAAACCCCACATTGTTTTTCCTCGCAAACTGTTTGTACAAAATGTAGCCTATTCACTGACAAACTCAATAACTCACATCTGAATTTTCTATACAACCTCCATCCACTTCAGTGATCTTTTGCCAGCGTAAAACAAGAACATGCATGCCTTGCTTACATAAGTTATTATCCAGCTCACATAAGATACAGCCTGAATCATTTTCAAGTCCATTTCTACCCTTTCTGCAGCTGTAACTCTCTAAGCCCAGTGACCAACTGCACACCTGTTGACTGCACATCTTTTTTGCACAGCATAAAAATGGTTCTAAATGTTCACCAGATTCCTTACTCTACAATTTTACAATTCCTTGTTTGGAATGCAAATTGTCAGTATCTGCTAATTTACACTGATTGGTTCTGGTGCTATTGTTCTCTGAAAAAAAAAGCTGCCATCTTGTACATAAAATAATGACATTTCTAATCTGAAGGGTGCAAAATTAAATGCTTTAATAATTATCAATAATTATTTATTGAGAAAATAAATGAAGTCTTACTTTCTGAATGCCCCTGTATAAACAACAGTTTATAAACAACTACACACATTACATTAATGTAAGTTTTCAAACCATTACACACATTATTATATTTATGTAAGTTTTAAACAATAGCATATATTGTAACATGACACACACAAACAAGTTATAGATTTTCATTAATTAAAATCTCTGAGTAAATGTATATACAAAAAATGATATTAAACATGATCATCAACATAGAGTATTTCAGTCCTGGGCTGATCATGTATTCAGATTAATTTCATATTTATCTAATGCCAATCTCTTCGATTTTATATATTTTTGCATTTAAAGATCTGTGCACAACTGTTCTATAAACGTTTTTCTTGGTCTACCCTTTCCTTACTGTTCTGACCTCTGATACTCTTTTTGGTATTATTCATCATCACCATTTTCTTCCACTTTTTACTTTAACCCTTTTCTCATGTAAGAATCTTTTTTTTTTTTTAAATAACTTTTTAAATATTTTGTTTGAAAATGCATCTTTATAATTCTTGGACTGCTTTTGCTGCCTTTATTGTCTACTTCTGCTGTGTAGGCAGCTGGGTCTTTGAGCCTGAGGATTTAGGGCTGCACTGTTAGTGCTGCTGCCATAGACTGCGCAGGTTAGATTAAATTTTTGCCCCTGACACAAAAAATCCCCAACCTTACAGAGAATTCAAACACAGGTCTTCCACTTGGAACTACATTATGAAAACTAGAAGATGAGTAAAAGAAGCAGAAAAAATTGTTCAGTCTTGGCCGGTTTTTATTTTTTTTTAATCCTGAGGGTTGATAAAATGAAATCTAAAAATAATTGTTTCTAAGTTAAGGAGTGATCAACAATAAATGGAGAGAGATTAGAATAAGTTTCTTTAATCTTGGAGAAATTACCATGACCAAACTATGTATGGAAGACACTTGTAATATAGTAAAATATAAAGACAGAAAGTCAAACCCTTTTCAAATAACATCTTGTTTAAAGCAAGGTGATGGTCTGTTCCCACTACTTTTCAACTTGGTCCTGGAGAAAATTATAATGAAATTGAAACAAGAGTGTACTATAGGAGAAACTACAAGAATAATTGGATATGCTGATGACATTAATATTGTTGGAGAAAATGAACCAGAGACTGTTAAAACACTGACTCTCTTAAAAGAATCAGCTCAGAAAATGGGACTAGTTATCAATCAGGATAAGACAGAATTCATGATAATAACTAGATAGGATAAGGAAATAAACTTCGGCCAAATACAAGTCGATAATATGAAAATCAAACGAACGGAAACATATAATTACTTGGGTGCAAACTTCAACTGCTCCAACATGCTGAGAGAACAAATACAGTCTAGAATAAAATCTGAATAAAGTATACTATGCCCTTCAACATCTGCTAAAGTCAAATTGTATAAAACAAAATTTCAAAATGTTGATAAGACCAGTCGTTTTAGATGGCTCTGAAACTAGGAGCGCAACTAAATTAGATGAAGCCTTATTTCATGTTTTCAAAAACAAGAGTCTTACGATGAATCTTTGGACCCATCAAAGATGCAAACAGCGGTGAATGGAGAGTGAGAAGCAACAACAACATTCATAATCTGTTTAAATCACCACTGATCACTGGCATCATGAGAGCTAATAGACTGAAATGGCTGGGGCTTATTGAAAGAATGTTAAATGACAGAGTAGTAAAAACTGTATACACGAGAAAGATGAATGGTCGTAAACCACAAGACGGAACAAAAAGATTATGGAGAGATAACATCCAGACAGACCTGCAAACACTTGGTGTCACAAACTGGAAAGAGAAGGCCAACCTGTGAGATGAATGGAGGGGGGTGATATCTGCAGCAATGAACCTTGAGGGCTCAGAGTGCTGAAGAAGATTCTTGGACCTGTAATAACAGATAAGGGCAGCCGTGAAACATAAATCAAAAAGAGAATTCTCTTTGAGTGAAAACAGGAATGGACCCGCTGGCTCCCCAACAAGCATGTTGTAGGAGTCGACTAATTAGCCAGAGTGCATCTGCCCAAGCAGCAAGAACAACCAACTGCACAAAAATAAGCCAGTAAAACTATTTACGTGCAAAACTCAGACCCTGGCCTGACAAACAATTCGGATTTTCTGCGGGAGCTTACAGCCGGAAAAAGAAAAAGAACAAGAATGGCTAAAAATATCTTCAATAAGATGCAGAAATTACTGACAGCTAAAGAGATAAAAAAAAATGCTATAAAAAATGAGAATCGTCAAATATTTTGTATACTCAACCTGCTGTGTATAGTACAGAAACCTAGACAATGAAAAAGCAACTAGAAAACTTAACTAAATACAGAAGAAGGCCAGCATTTCAGGGGGGGGGGGGGGGGGGGGGAAACAATTAAATACAGAGGTTCTGCGAATGAAAAGGGAGTTAATGAAATAAAAAAAAGAGAGACAATTGAAATATTTTGACCACATTAAAGGACAACACATTTAAAAACCATCCTCGAGGGAAACGTCAAAGGCAAGAGAGCAGCAGGTGGACAAATATACAAGTGGTGGGGACAACATCAAGAGATGGAGGAACAACAGTATGACAGATTGCACTATCAAGACAAGAGACAGAGAGACATTGGAGATCCACTGCAAATAACCTTTGTTGTGGAGACAGCAACTGATTGACTGATGACTCATACCCAACATGTCTACACACTGCAGTAGCAACCAGTACCAAAGTTGTTATACAGGCATACCGGCCGCAGCCCAAAGACATCATGTCATCAAAAACCTGTGAAGTTGGAAAAACCGGCCCCTCTGGCAACAAAGTTTAACATTGTGGAGAAGAACAGTTTGTGGTACAGTGCTCAATGGTTGGAACTGGTTATTGTCATTTTGCACAAACTGGGGATCATCGCCGGAGCTACTGAGTTTGTGTGATACCCTTGAAGCTACAGAGTTTGTGTGACACACTCGAAGCTACAGAGTTTGTGTGACACACTCGAAGCTACAGAGTTTGTGTGACACACTCGAAGCTACAGAGTTTGTGTGACACACTCGAAGCTACTGAGTTTGTGACACACTTGAAGCTACAGAGTTTGTGACACACTTGAAGCTACAGAGTTTGTGTGACACACTCGAAGCTACTGAGTTTGTGACACACTTGAAGCTACAGAGTTTGTGACACACTTGAAGCTACAGAGTTTGTGTGACACACTCGAAGCTACAGAGTTTGTGTGACACACTCGAAGCTACTGAGTTTGTGACACACTTGAAGCTACAGAGTTTGTGTGACACACTCGAAGCTACAGAGTTTGTGTGACACACTCGAAGCTACTGAGTTTGTGACACACTTGAAGCTACAGAGTTTGTGTGACACACTCGAAGCTACTGAGTTTGTGTGACACACTCGAAGCTACTGAGTTTGTGACACACTTGAAGCTACAGAGTTTGTGACACACTTGAAGCTACAGAGTTTGTGTGACACACTCGAAGCTACAGAGTTTGTGTGACACACTCGAAGCTACTGAGTTTGTGACACACTTGAAGCTACTGAGTTTGTGTGACACACTCGAAGCTACTGAGTTTGTGTGACACCCTCGACAGGCGGCTAACCATTCTGAGGAGAGAGAGGCTGAGCGACATGAGATGAAACCTGGTGCAATAAAGTAGATCCTCTCGACTTTAACTGTAATAAATATATAATATCTGTCATCAAAGTTGCTTCTTCTTGGCCAGCCTCTTTTTCTTGTATTAGTTCTCAGGTATATCTTGTATTGAGAACAGATACTGCCTGACTGTAACAAGAGTACCACAATTTGGCTATAGCCTCATTTCTCAGTGCTCAATACCGCAAATCGACTTAATTATCACTGAACAGACCTGAGTTTTATTATTTGACTAATGGAAGGATGCAGTCATAATGTATTTAACAAGGTCTGATGTAAGAGCAAGGAGGCAGACAAGATGGATTCAAGATATTTAACATGCACCCAGAATGACAACAGCCAGTGCTACCCATCAAACACTGGACCCCAAACTACAAGTTGAAGTTAAGGCTAAAGACGAGTGGATCAACTTCGCTGCAGCAAGTTACCCCATACAGCTCGGCCTATCTTTACAGAATGGCTAGCCCCTGCCAAGAGCACTGCAAAAAGCAGGAACTCCGTAGCTGCAGTGATGATCCCAAGTATCTTTGTAAAAACTGCATTCATGAACTAATGACACATCCATGAAGTGAACCCATGGTCTTCAAATCGAGAGGCAAATGGCCAAGGAGACCCCAAACTGTTCCTTCCTATGACACTTCAAGGCAAAGGTGGACACTGTTAATGGTGATGATGAAGGGAAGAGGAAATGTGGGCTGTCATAATCAAGAAAAATATTCTAGTTTTACAATTCCGAATGTTTTAAAGCCTGGTTCAATCTTGTCTGGAATTCTGTATGAAGTTTCTTGATCTGGAAAAAAAAAGGAAAATGACTACTTTTGTTTTATTTTTTCACAAAATGTACATATACTATCACTACAAAGAACTTACTGAATTCATTTCTATTATTCCAGGTGTGACTGGAGTCGTCAAGCTAATATCAAGACATGAATTTATGTCAATAAATAAATGATTGGGTCAAAACGTTCAGCTGTATCTTCTTTTTAGCATTCACCAGCTGTAAACTCTGACAGAAAGTTCTGGTTGTTCATCACTTCTGGATTCTGGTCGCTGTTCCAGAACTTGACTTTTGTGTGCACATCCATTTTATAGACCTGGCTTATTTGTATACAGATGTTGGTTCATGAACTCTCAGGCGGATGTACTCAGACTTCGAAATGAAACACTTATAATTTGTCACCTCCTACAGCACGCTTGTTAGGAGACAGTGGGTCTAATATCTGTTCCCCGATGATGGGTGTCCCTGAACCCATATGGGGACTATTGAATATTATTAAAACAGTTAATCGTAATTCTAACTTCACGGCATACAGGTCACCCAAGAGTTGCTCCATTTCCATGCCAGCGAAAAGAATACAGAATCCCATTGCTGTCCCTTGTAAAAAAAATGTTTTAAAAAGTTAAGACAGACTGCCGTCTCAGCAAAGCCAATAGCATACATATGCGTAAAATGATAAGGCAGACGTCAGAGGTGCCCATACAAACAGCTAACCACTAGAAATGCAGTTCGCTATCGATGGAAGCACTACTTACAACAAATAAGCAGTTGCACATGCAATTATTCACATAAGGCGCCACCAGTTCTTTTTCTGAATCTACAGTTCACAATAAAACCACTTAAGGCACATCTTAAAAGCCTTCCAAATGAAACCCGCAGCTCACAGAGTCCCGCCCATACTCAACTCAGCAGAGGAAAATGCAGAAGCCTACTGTATCTAGAAACAATAGTGAAGGACCCTTTTCCACGAATTTAGGCATATAGGGCTAGACCTATATTTTTATAGACCAATCGAAACAAGATGGGTGATGTGGTCAGCATCACGCCGGCCGCCTTAACTTCCCGGTACCCACTCAAGGCTGGGTTGACCTGGGAGGAGCCAAGGTCATTTTAGAAGCAATTAAGTTACTAAAACTATCAGAATCAGTCTGCTAATCTGCCACGCTGGACTGGAAAATATACCCCAAAAAAATCAAGTGTAGAATTACAGAGAAGCTCTGATTTTACACTGTTTGTGGAGCAGGACTTAGAGACCAAGACTTGCAACTCTTTTTCCATAGTGCGGCCTATCCATAGGATGTGTTCCCAAGCTAGTTAAAATTCTGCCACGGCTGTCTGCTGATGTGAAGCTCCATTACACATGTTACCCATCCTGCCAGGTGTTGCACTTGGACAGTGAAAGGAGGGCTTTGCAATAAGTCCTCAAGCCGATGGTACTTTGGTACCAGTCAGAAAGAAATCTCTAAACCAGCCTCATCCCAATGGATGTGCACTTTGTTCCAAACTCTTACGGTTTAAAACAGTGATCTCAAGGAGCCTTACAACCACCCAAAATCATATGTAACTAAGGCGGCTAAAACTGTCATGTCGACAGGATGGGTTCATCAATACCAGCTTTATCTCATGGGGTATTTTTCACACCAGAGGCCAATCAGGCAAATTATGCCAGACTCATATTTTTTATAGACCAATATTTTTGGTCATGTTGGCCACCCTTACTTCCCAGGAATTTACCTGGTACCCACTTGGGAGCCAAGGTCATTTTTGGAGACAAAATCCTACTCTTTGAAGATCTGAACCCAAGACCTTGGGTCAGAGGCGAACATGAGTTCACCGATATCCTATGGGGTCATTTCGTTAGAAATTAATACAGAAAGGTCTGCCATTATCTTTTTAGGTCATTAGAGTTGCCGTGAAGAAAGACAGGTCTGCCTTTATTCTTTGAGGTCACAACATAAGCCATGAAGACTAGATGGGTCAACCAGTAATTCCATTATCTATGTGATCATTACATAAGCTACAAAAACTAGAAGGGTCAATCAGTAATTCCATTATTTTTGTGGTCATTACATTACCTACAAAGACTAAACGGGTCAACCAGTAATTCCATTATCTATGGAGTCATTACATTACCTACAAAGACTAAACGGGTCAACCAGTAATTCCATTATCTATGTGGTCATTACATAAGCTACAAAAACTAGAAGAGTCAATCAGTAATTCCATTATCTTTGTGGTCATTACATTACCTACAAAGACTAAACGGGTCAACCAGTAATTCCATTATCTATGGAGTCATTACATTACCTACAAAGACTAAACGGGTCAACCAGTAATTCCATTATCTATGTGGTCATTACATTACCTACAAAGACTAAACGGGTCAACCAGTAATTCCATTATCTATGGAGTCATTACATTACCTACAAAGACTAAACAGGTCAACCAGTAATTCCATTATCTATAGGGTTATTACATTACCTACAAAGACTAAACAGGTCAACCAGTAATTACATTATCTATGTGGTCATTACATTACCTACAAAGATTAAACGGGTCAACCAGTAATTACATTATCTATGTGGTCATTACATTACCTACAAAGACTAAACGGGTCAACCAGTAATTCCATTATCTATAGGGTTATTACATTACCTACAAAGACTAAACGGGTCAACCAGTAATTCCATTATCGATGTGGTCATTACATTACCTACAAAGACTAAACGGGTCAACCAGTAATTCCATTATGTATGTGGTCATTACATTACCTACAAAGACTAAACGGGTCAACCAGTAATTCCATTATCTATGTGGTCATTACATTACCTACAAAGACTAAACGGGTCAACCCGTAATTCCATTATCTATGGAGTCATTACAGAAGCCACAAAGACTAGACGGGTCAACCAGTAATTCCATTATCTATGTGGTCATTACATTAGCCATGAAGACTAAACGGGTCAACCAGTAATTCCATTATCTATGGAGTCATTATGGTAGCCATGAAGCTGATTCTAGTTTCCTGTGACTTAAATTTTAAATAAACTGTAGAAGAGAATTGACCTTGCGGTTGAGATTCTGTGTCTTTTCCTCCAAATTTTTGTGGTTCTCAGGAACATCTACATCCTGTAAAGCTTCAGCAGACTGCTGTAGTTGCTTCTGGTAGTATTCTTGTTTGTTGAGGCGGTGCTCAAAGTGCAGTAACTCTTCCTAGAAGACAGATATAAACAACACTTTGGATATTTTTATGTTGATGTATTAGGAAATGAACAGGCAGAAAGACTGACTGGTTCTGCACAACCTGGTGGTGAACTGATGCATGAAAGGCTAGATATTGTAAGGGCTCTTTGGGGGCAAGTGAATAGTGCCGGAGACACAGATAAATCATCATGTTCTGTGGAGAATGGTGCTGCTAGGAGTGACCGGGGCAATTTGGCAGACGATCAACACTAAAGGAAAAGGTGAGACAGATAAACAAACAGTCTATTACTGGTACCATCAGAATTGGAACTCTGCACCTGCTGCTGAAGATGGGGATGCAGCACTTTTGAGAATGTCCTAAGTGCTGTGATATCAATTCTTAATGAAATGTTAAGCTACTCTTCACTCATGAGTCTCTTCTTATCTAGTCACTGACAGAATGATGGCAAATTTGACGATTGTCCTCCTGTGCAGAGTTTGAATTTGAACATATCCATTATGCCCTAATCAAGAAAAAAAAAGGTAATTTACTTTATTACTTAGTTTGTTGGGGGGGGGGGGGGGGGGAGGGGAGGGCGACAAGTTGATAACAAAGTAAACAATATTCTTATATACAAATTTTTACGTTCAAAAAAAGAATGATAGACTTCGATAACAAATTGTAATGAGCACAACAAAAGTACAACCTGAAACAACCTAACAAAACAAGAATGATAGACTTCGATAAACATTGTAATGAGCACAACAAAAGTACAACCTGAAACAACCTAACAAAACAAGAATGATAGACTTGGATAAAAAATTGTAAATGAAGCACAACAAAAGTACAACCTGAAACAACCTAACAAAACAAGAATGATAGACTTGGATAAAAAAATTGTAATGAGCACAACAAAAGTACAACCTGAAACAACCTAACAAAACAAGAATGATAGACTTCGATAAACATTTTTAATGAGCACAACAAAAGTACAACCTGAAACAACCTAACAAAACAAGAATGATAGACTTGGATAAAAAATTGTAATGAGCACAACAAAAGTACAACCTGAAACAACCTAACAAAACAAGAATGATAGACTTCGATAAACATTTTTAATGAGCACAACAAAAGTACAGCCTGAAACAACCTAACAAAACAAGAATGATAGACTTCGATAAACATTGTAATGAGCACAACAAAAGTACAACCTGAAACAACCTAACAAAACAAGAATGATAGACTTGGATAAAAAATTGTAATGAGCACAACAAAAGTACAACCTGAAACAACCTAACAAAACAAGAATGATAGACTTGGATAAAAAATTGTAATGAGCACAACAAAAGTACAACCTGAAACAACCTAACAAAACAAGAATGATAGACTTCGATAAACATTTTTAATGAGCACAACAAAAGTACAACCTGAAACAACCTAACAAAACAAGAATGATAGACTTGGATAAAAAATTGTAATGAGCACAACAAAAGTACAACCTGAAACAACCTAACAAAACAAGAATGATAGACTTGGATAAAAAATTGTAATGAGCACAACAAAAGTACAGCCTGAAACAACCTAACAAAACAAGAATGATAGACTTCGATAAAACATTTTTAATGAGCACAACAAAAGTACAGCCTGAAACAACCTAACAAAACAACAGTGAGATGATACTGTAAATAGTTTAAATAACAGTGGGAAGGTACACAGAAAACACAACGTTTGCTGTACCTTGAAACCATTCAACTGCTCATTTGTCCAGTTTGTCTTCTTGGCTAGAGCCCAGAGTTTGTGAACTCTGCTGTCCTTAAATACTGGTTCAGATGCCGGTATTGTAGAAACTAGGTGTTCTAGTTTCATGTAGCCCTCCTTGATGTCTCGCTTCACTTTCTTCATACCATCTTTCTTGTCCGATAATTTTTTCGGTGACAGATTCATTTTTAACTGCTCACGATCGATGACGTTGTCATCAGGATCTGTTTTGAAACATTGATCATTAGTAGTCTAATTAAGTTTTTTTTAAATAGTATAAGGAATCGATGACACATCAGCAAAGTTTTTCTTCATCATGTTCACTGGCCGTAAACTCAGGCAAAAAGTCCTGGTTGTTAATCCACTTCTGGACTTTTTTTTTACGGGACTTCGGTTTTTGGTGTAGATCCATTCTACATATCTGGCTTATTTGTGTGCAGATACTGGTTCCTTGCTTTTCAGGCAGACGTACTCTGACTGGGAAAAAACACCAATCCTACCTATGTTGGCCAGACCCCCCCCCCCCCCAAGTTGGGAACCTGTTTCCAGAATGAGTGTTTTAATGTCATGGACCAGCTTCAGCGCTGATCTTAGTGCCCTAACACATGTAGTTCAGCATCTATGTATCCCTAAAGAAAACCAAATGCTCAGGCTAGTAGCAAATAATTCCCTCATGACTCCCACCTGCAACATAAATTTCTTTAAATAGCTTGGACAAAGAAAAAATACTGAAATTTATATCATAAAATTTAATTAGAAATATATTTAAAAAAAAAATACAAATTAATTAAGAAATATAAAACCTGAATACTGAACAATGAAGAAAACTTGCTCATTAACAGCTTCAGGTCTCATAAACTTACATGTTTGGCAGTATTAAACACTGCAGCACTTAAGAAAAAGTAAAACTAAAAGGCATATTGCTGGAATAGAAGACAAATGTCTGCCAGCTCAAGGGTGGACATGCCACATTGGATACATCCATTCAGGAGGACTTCATAACACAAATTTGATGCTCTTTAACTGCTTCTATCTTATCTGGCCAATTAATTCCAGCATACTTAGTGAGGAGATAAGTAAAGGATACATTTTCACACCCTGATGTGCAAAAGGTATTATGGTGCTAACCAATATTTTATAGACCAATTAGCAATCAATCGATGATGTGGTCAGGATCAGCCCTACTGTCTTAACTATGCAGAAGATCCGCTAACATCTTTAGGCAGGTCCAGCTGGGAGATCAGGTCACTGTCTCACAAAAAGGGAAATGAAAACTTCCGCCCATGAGACTGCCAGGCCAGTCATTGCTCAGCCCCAGCTGCCAAGAAAAAGATGAGTAATTATACCAATTTGGGAAACACTATTACTGAGATGAAAATACAAGTTATAAAAAAAAAAGTAAAGGTCCCTTTTCCACGACTTTAGGCATATAGAGCATATGGGGCCAGACCTATATTTTATAGACCAATCAGCACAAGATGGGTGATGTGGTCAGCATCACGCCGGCGGTCTTTATCTCCCAGGACTGCACCCTGTACCCACTGAAGGCTGGGTCGACCTGGGAGCCAAGGTAATTTTTTGAAAAAAGTCCAGCTCCATCAGGTAGCAAACCCACGATGAGATAAAAATAGTCAACTATAACTGCATTTACAATTCAACTCACCTGCTAGTTTATTCAGCTCCTTATGAACAAAGTCGAATTCATTAATTTTCATTTGCTGATGCATGAACTCTTCTTTCAGCAAGTTTAAATCTTCCTCTGGGGGAGAGATCACAGATTTGGAAAATAATAGTTTCACTAACACAGGTCAGGTAATCAATTCTAATGACTCAATTCCTCTTCTTTGCGTTCTCTGGCTGTTAACTCTGGTAGAAGGTTTTATCTGTTCATCCACTTCTGGTCTTTAGTCTTGTTCAGAACTTTGAGTGTGGCATGCACACCTGTTTTACAGATCTGGTTTATTTGTGTGCTGACTGTAGGCTCCTTGTCTCTCAGGTAAATGTACTTCGACTTTGAAGGAAACCCTTAACTAGTCGACTCTTATGACATACTGGTTAGGGAGGCAATGGGTCTATTCTTGTTTTACCCCCAAACAGGGTCCCATAAATCATATGGGGAATGACATAATTTTTACATTCAATTGTAAAATCCTCAGGAATATTAATATATATAAGTATATAACTTCCTTTAACCTTTCGCTGCTCTGCCAGCGAACGTTACCACTGACTGTGCTAGCAAGCTTCCCGCTGAACTTTCTCCCTGTGCTGAACACTTTTCTATTCTCAAAACGCCAAAGATAGGTCAGCAGTGAGGGCTCTATTTTATACACCTGAAAAATTTACCCTAGGTAAGTGGTGAAGGCCAGAGAGCTGAAAAATCAGACACACTATGGCGACGCAAAAAAACACAATTTTTATTCTTCCTACTTCTACTTCTTCGTCATCTCAACCATTGCCATGTGTTTAGTCACTGCCCTGAGTGCATCTGAGGCTCTTACCTTCCCCTGGCCCGTTCCACCGCCCTAAAAAACTTGACCTACAAATCTATAGTCCCCTAACCCCTATGCGAGAAGGGGGCGGGTGGTTTAAGGGACTGGTCTAGGAGAATCCTAGCATTTCACCCCAGGCCGTGACTCGTGAATTACAATTCGCACTGATGGCAATTACCCCCATCCCCTCCTTCCCAATCAGATCCATAAATCTACCGCTTTAGTCATAATTAATTGTATTCTCTGTGTTACTACTTTTTTTTTTAAAATAATTAATACTTCGGTGATGCGTTGCCGAAACTGAAATTTAAAATTTATAATTGGAAAAAAATATCATGTAGGGGTTGAATGCAGGACACTTGGACTATAAGTCAGACATGATACCAGCTACACTTAAAATTCATTTTAAAAAAATAACTGATAATAGGACTAGTATTGTACACTGCAATAGACAGACACATTCATGTCAGTTGTATAGTATAAACAAACATTAATTTTAATCATCATGTCAGTATGTGACTATATCTTCTTCATGATCACTGAGGATCCATTTCAATCCAGTCAATGTAGATGGCTGGGTCAGATGGTCAGTCTTGCTCATGGCTAGAAGTACACATGTCCACTGGCGTGCCGTGCAGATAACCTAGCTCCTAACTCACATATTTAAAAGTGATCCTTACTATAACTCCTTGAAAGAAACTCCATTAATTCTTCATCAACTTTAATTAACTAATTTTCTTGCTATTTTGTATCTTTTAAAAAAAAAGTATACTAACGCAAAAACAAAAAATACACTGTTCACCGACCACGCTTCTGTGGTAACAAAGTTGTAGGATAACGTGGAACGCATCTAAATACACCTAAATGCACGTGATAAGGGTTTTAATTGTATGTAAACAGGTCAATTTGATCACATTTAGGTAATGTGTATTGCCATTTCATTCCCGAGAATTACGGTTCTTAGAACTGTGAAAGAGTCAACTACCAGCCAATGAATTCGTCATTTAGTGTAGACCCCCTTTCCCCCCCCCCCCCCCCTTTTCGGTCCCCCAAATCCAATACAAAAGTACTCTCCATAGGGACTGTTTTGTACAGGCCTCATCCCATCTCCAAAACTTGATCTGTAAAACGACTGTGCACGCAAAACTCAAGTTCTAGAACAAGACCAAAAACTAGAGGTGGATAAACAACCAGAACTTTCCACCAAATTTTACAACAAACGGTGAATGCTAAGAGGAAGAAAAGTAATCAAGTATAATCTCTTAAAGGTCACATACCAGAAAATCCTGCCTGCTGTGCCTTCGACCACATGGTCTGTAGTTTAGAATCTTGGAACTGAACCTTTTTGTCAACATTTTCATCAGCTGGTAGCTCATTGCTGATAAAGATATCATTCTGTGAGAAATTTTCATCTAATCCATAATCGTGTACAATTCCTGAAAGTGAAAATTACAGAAAAGTATTCATTAATTAGAACAAGAAATAAATAAATTACAATCAATTATCTTATATTTATAATATTGTACATCTTTCCTATCAATATTCTTCTTCTTAAAGTCCATACAGCGGCAACGGTAGTCATGTCTTTCCACCATCTTCTATCTCGTGCACTTTCAATAAACTCTGATACAGATGATCTTCCATGTCCTGATGTCAAACTTTCCGGCATTTTTTTTTCTCTTGGTCTCCCTCTCCCTCTCTTTTCCTTCAACTTTCCTTTTGTCACGATGTACTTGTTTTCTCCTTAAAACATGACCAAAGAATTTAGACTGTCTCTTTCTGAGGTGGGCAATCAATAATATTCTTTTACAAAAACAAACAAAATATTGTAGTGTCTTCAGTTCCCATACTATTTCTCACTAATTTGTTGACTGTCTATGATACATTTCCATAAATTATAATTGACTCTACATTTAAATTCTTTAATATATCTTCTATCTGTTGTTATCAAGGTACCCAAATCCTGAAAAGCACTGACCTGCTTCCGACTTTTCCTAATCTGCTTTACGCTCACCAGTGTAAAAATCCAAGGAAAGTTCTGGTTGTTCTTTATTTTCTAGACCTAATTCTTGTTCCAGAACTTTAGTTTTGCCTGCACATCTGTTTAACAGATAGGGCTTATTTGCATGCAGAATGTTGGTTCTTTGCCTCTCAAGCAGAAGTATTTCAGCTTCAATCCTAATTAGTCGACTCCTACGACATGCTTGCTAGGGAGGCAGTGGGTCTATTCCCATTTTCCCCATAATGGGGCCCCGGAACCCATACACAGAATACACTTGTATGGATCTCATTATTATTTCATTGGACACATTGAACAGATTGGATGAGATTCTTTAGCTCATAGTGAGAAGGGAAAAACTGGAGCATGTCATGACAATGAGACAGAGGTAGGGGAGACAGTTTTGCATCAAAGCATACAGGAACATCTGTATCAGATGCTAGTGGCAGATGACTGTGAACAGACATGACAACCAACACCACATGATACTGACTGTAAACAAGTTATACATAAGTAATAGTTATCATGATTCTATGCCTGAGGACAGGGGATAACAAACTTAACAAACATATGCACAGACTTGTCTAAGTATTTCACCACTGTGCACATGTGGGCTGTGTGCACAAAATATGCTCTGCAAGTCAGTCCATTGTCTGCGGGTACCAGAAATTTTGAGTAAAGGTGGTATACGTGGGCGGAAATGAGGTGGTGGCGGGGAAAGGGGGAACTATTCCACACTTCTTCTATTTTGAATAATGTTAAATAGTCTATTCTATGAGAAAAGAAATGGTCAGCTTGAGCCAGGAGTGGAATTAAAAACCTCTGGTCCATTCCACTCCCCCCCCCCTTTTTCTTTTTAAATCCCCAAGCATAGTAATTAATGGAGCAAGTACCCATACCCTTTCCAATTTAAAATATACAAAGCCTCTCTCTCTCCCTCTCCTCTCTCTCTTTCTCTCTCTCTCTCTTCCTCTCTCTCTCTCTCTCTCTCTCTCTCTCTCTCTCTCTCTCTCTCTTCTCTCTCTCTCTCTCTCTCTCTCTCTTTCTCTCTCTCTTCTCTCTCTCTCTCTCTCTCTCTCTCTCTCTCTCTCTCTCTTTCTCTCTCTCTCTCTCTCTCTCTCTCTCTTTCTCTCTCTCTCTCTCTATTTAATTTACTTTGCAGAAATGATTGAAGAAATTTGTGTCCACAACCCTACTTCTATAGTTTGTGAGAACTTTAGTTTCCATGTCTCCATCCTGGTCAAGATCCTGTGCTCTCAGTTTTTTCAGGTGAGCCTCATGCTTGTCATGAACCTTGAGGTCAGCATACAGTTCTGCCAGCTTCACACTGGGGAGTACCTGTGTACAGACCAAAACTGGTTTTCACATATAAGTCCACCCTAATGTAGTCTGCTCTGTGGCTAAGTCGATGCGAACACTTCATAATGCCGGGGGGGGGGGGGGGGGGGGGGGGGGGTGGGGTGGGCCTCTGGGGGGGGGGGGGGGGGGGGGGGGGGGGGGGGGGGGGGTGCCAAGTTCGATTCCAGCTGCAGGCCATGCACCTTGTGTTGGTTTCGACAGTGGTATCAAGAAGCTGACCATCCAGAAAGCAATGGCAAATAGCATCACTCAGAACATGACCTTCATAGCTCCGGTAACAGTCCCCAGGGATCTCTATACAAATTCCACTGAAGGGCGCCAAAGTGAAATGAATCCACGACCTTCAGCACATGAGGTAAATGGCTTGACCGCTTTGCCATGGAAACCCCCCCCCCCCCCCATCCCCCCGTCTTTTCCACCTGTGACACAAAATAAAAGTCCATTATGTTTCTTAAGTGCTTAATAGTCAGCAGTGTATCTTTACAGGATGTTGCAGAACCACTCCAGCATGTTTTGGCTGTTTGGTTTTACTAGGGAATTTTACTTTCAGCAGTTCGCCATTGCTTTCTGAACATTGGGCTCTTGATACCAATGTCAAATCATCATTAGGTGAATCTACTGCTAAAGTGTCTGCAGCTGGAATCAAACCGGGTACCTCGGAATTATAAAGCACAGTTATACAATGCTTTAACCACAGACGCCTAAAGTACTTAAAGAATATATATGTCTGTTCTCCCACAATGTTATATATAAATTATTTGCACATTTAAAAACTTCTTCATGATAATGTCTTAGAGGATCACTATTTTCAGTTCACATTCTGAAGTTAATATTTGATCATCATCACTTCAAAATACTGTAATACAGTGACAAAAAAGTATCAAGTACTCTCACCAACAGCACACAACAATTCAGTTTAGTCCACTTCAGATCACTCAACACAGGAATATGGTCGTACAATACTTTTAATAGAAATGGTTTTGATGTGTGTCAAGAATACCAACAGACAATAGAAGCACACCCAGAGGTCGACCATGCAAGCGATGGATAAATGGAATATCCAAGGCAGTAAATACCAACATCATCATAGCACATACCAAGGCTCTCACCCAAAACTTTCTCAAAACCTGACAGTGAAAGGCAGAAGATTGAAGAAGAAGAAGAAGAAGAAGAAGAAGAAGAAGAAGAAGAAGAAGAAGAAGAAGAAGAAGAAGAAGAAGAAGAAAAAGAAGAAGAAGTGGTATTTATACATTTAAAAAACTTTATATAGAAAAGTTATGATTTAATTAAAACTTTCAACTATCAGGAGAAAAGCCACGGCAAATAGGCACCCTGAACACATTTTTCAGGACAGGGAATTACTTCATTTAAAAAAAAAAGGGGGGGGGGGGGGGTGTTCTCTTCCCAACCCGACCCACAAAGGAACTTTTTACAGAGCAACAAATCACTTTGCTTTCCTTGTTGCTGACACCACAAATTTGCACATTTTTGCAGGGTTATCTTGGGGGAAATCTACAGTTTCTATACAAAGTGAAACTTATTTTACCTGCATGCATTACGCTTTAATCAGGTACCAGCCAGCAGTGGCGCAGCAAGATCAGGTTGTAGCCAGTGCGGAAAATCTCCTGTCTTCCTCCGCCCCACCCGCCATCAGCGTGGCTGCTTCTGGATATCAGTTAACTGATTTTGTGTATTTGTGTGGTTTTGTTATATTTATGTATTTGCTGTAGGTCCTATAGCCACAATGTTAACGTTTTGTTTGTGCTTGTTATATTGTGAAGCTCGATGATCTACTTTTTATTCAGTTTTATATCTTTCCATGGTATACTTACTTTAACTACACTGATTTTTGTCAACATCTCTCTCTCTCTCTATATATATATATATATATATATATATATATATATATATGTGTGTGTGTGTGTGTGTGTGTGTGTGTGTGTGTGTGTGTATGTATGTGTGTGTGTATATATAAACACTTATTTTTGCCACCCCCCCCCCCCACCCATGTCACCCTGGGGTGAGTACTTTAATTTTAATTCACTCCAAATTAAGTAAATCTGAGAGTCCAGGAATAGTCCAAACACATTATGTGTTATCAAGGTATTTTCTTGATGACACATCATGTGTCATCAAGGTATTTTCTTGAGTGGTTTATTTCTGTGTTCTTTATATAATGTGTGTTTTGCTCACCCTAACCAGTTCTAAATACTTATAGTAATTACTTATAGTAGGGATTTTAGTCAAAATTTTTATTTTGGGTTTTTTACTTTTAAACCAAGACAGCTGAATAGAGGTTGAAAAACTGAGTCCAACGGTACCTCAATGAAGTCTGTCTTATTCAGCTATCCTAATATAGCTACCAGGTTTGTTTTTGTGTGAATTAAAACTGAAATACCCCGAGCTGACCCGCACCCCTCCCCCCTCGTCTATGACACTGGCACCTGGAGCAACCAAAGCACCAGCAGACAACTTTATTCTCGAAATCTCTTAGTGTAGTGCTGTAGTCTTACCTGCCTTCCTTTGGTCCAGAGTAGATTAACTTTCTTCATTCGAAATGGGTTTTCTGTATTTTGGAAATCAAGATCGGTGTCATGCCGGTCAATTCCCTGTGCTTCCTTGGAATATTTGCTGGAAGCACAGACGTCTGCTACAAGACTTATGCAAATTATTATTTTAAACATTTTCGCGTTCATTTTAGACAGTGATTGATGGATCCAGAGATCCGGTTTCGGTTCCGACAAATTTCCTGTTCGTATTTTATCACAATTTTATACATTAAAAAACATGAATGCGGCACATACAAGACCCGTCCGGGTGTGGGACGAAATTTTTCGTGATTTTGAATCCTCATCCAGGCTGTTGCCGGGGGCCCTAATTTAACCCAACTATAGGTTGAACGGGGTTTTTGGGACCTGTGACATCGTGATCCTCATCTGAATGGTGAAACTTTGATTCATCGGGTGTTTTTCGCTCGGTGTGATGTCCTGGTGGGGTAAAATGTCAATCAAGTCGAAAATCTTTTTGGGAGCGTTCACCGGCTGTAAATTGAAAAATCCAGCGAAAAATTCTGATTGTTTATCTACTTTTGGAATTTAGTCTTGTCCCAGAACTTGAATTCTGCCTGCACATCCGTTTACAGGACTAGCTTACTTGTATGCAGACTGTTGGTTCCTCGCCTCTCAGGCATAGGCTATGTCCTCCGACTTAGGAGGGAAAATCCCTACTTATTAGGCCCTTATTACTTTTTATGACATGCTTTTTAGGGAGTTATTCTGTCTATTCGTTGCCCCCGATCCCCCCCCCCACCCCCTCCCCAATGAAAAACCATAAGGAAAAGAAGACAATAATTTTTTTTTTTTAATGAATTCGTGTTTAAGAAATTCGTGCTTATCAGAGACAAGCAATATGACTTTGCTAGGGCCAAAATTGTGTTCATGTTAACCGTGTTTTGTTTATTCGTATGTAAACCGTGTTTTGTTTATTCGTTTCGTTTATTCAACGAATCAACATCACTGCATGCGAATGTAACCCATAAGTGCTCCGCTCTACTTGTAGCTCAAGCCTGAATCTAAAAAAATTCAACGCAGTGCACAAACTCCGTTGCACCGGCGAGGATCCTGAAATACTTTGAGTAGATTTTAACTCCAAATTTTGCCTGGGCAGCGCCGTTAGGCTACTCTTTTCGATTTCCAACTGCAAAGGGATTTTTTACGTGCTCAAGAATACACACGGGTGTCCGATCTTACTGCCCAGAGACCAGGGGAAATTACTAGAAGCCACGTGAAAAACTTCCAGCCTTTACCGGGGCTTGAACCCGGGAATCCAGCACTCGAGGTGGACACCATACCTCGAGAACCACTCAGCCCCCCCCCCCCCCCCGGCTAACGAGATTTTACTATACTTTGCTTTTTTGTGCAGTGCAATGTTTTAAGACTATCCACCTGACTGCAGGTCAAATAAAACTTGAACCGGACCTCATATTTTGATTTTCCGGCTACCCACTTTATTTCGAGTTATCTGAAAGTTTTAGTGAAACTATCATGGGTGTCTTATTTTATTCCTTGAAGGTCGTGCGGTTATGAGTTAGATTATCTTCACAGCAGGACCAACGCCAGAATTTTGATGTGGTTTTTCCGGGCAAACGTTAAGTTCAGTAGCTTGCCGTTTCTTTTTGATCAGTCAGCTCTCGGTACCACTGTCGAAACCAACACAGAAGAGTCAGCAGCTTGGATCGAACCCGGCACATCGGCATTACGAAGCGCGTTCGCAAAACCTAAGCCACAGACACCATCACTCAGCACGGTACGTAATAAAGCACATTTTTGTTAAAGTTTTTCTTCAAGGCGAATGCAAAGGTCACCTGTTATAATTTACTAATCTTCACCGCAGGAATGATTGTTATACTTGCAGCTCTGGAAGTGGTATATGGCAGACCTCCCAAGCTGACAGTTTTAACTGACTTAATTATTAACTAGCTAGGCGTTAAAAAAAAAATATACATAAGCCCAACTCACTTCAGCCCTTTTATCGTTTGTCATCTCCTGCACCGTTCACTGTATTCATCAATTTTTTTTTTTAGGGGGGAGAGGTCTCCCTATATTTATTTTATATTTTTACTACTCATGCTGGCAATTTTAATATTTCTTTAACCGCATTTGAATCTACTTTACAAAAATGTTTTGTGTGTGTGGGTTTTTTTAAGCATATTTTTTTTTTCATTTGTCACTTTTTCCAAGCACTTCTACATAAAATGTGTTCGGAATGCTTGTAACATACTAACATCAGTCTTCCTTACTCGCGTCGTCTGCTAATGGTAATGGTAATTTTCACAAAAATACGCTACTCAACCCATAGGGTTATATCTAGGGCTGTACCGAATAGTGATTACTGCTGGTTACTTCAAATCCACGTAAATGCGCTATACACAGTCTGCAACGAATATAACATGAAGATCAGCATCACCAAAACAGAAATTCTGAAATTAAGTAGAACACCTAATATACTAACTATTCAAGTTAACAACGAACAACTCAAACAAGTGCAGCAATTTAAATACTTGGGGAGCATCTTCACAGACGATGGAAGAATTGATAGGGAATTTGAGGCAAGATGTCAAAAGGCGAACGCAGTAACTTACTAACTCTCCCCACTGCTAAAACACCCAAGCATCACTATGGCACTAAAACGACAACTGATAAATTGCATGTTTATACCAACCCTCTGCTACCAATGCCAAACCTGGTCCCTAACAAGAGCACAGGAGAAAAAGATCACGACGTGCGAAATAAGATGCTTACGTAAGGCTGCCAATGTCACAAGGAGAGACAGAGTTCGAAACGAGAACATTATATCAATTGTAGGAACCACACCATGCCTGCAATACATAAAGAAGCAACAAATAGAGTGGTTTGGCCACTTGATGCGAATGTAAACCGACCAACTGCCTCTACGAGCATACAACGAACAGCACTACTGCCCTATAGCAAGAGGCAGACCGAGAGTACGATGGATAGACAATATATCAGAGATCCTGAGGCAACACGGACTAACAACAACACGTGCAACACACCTGGCCCAGGATAGAAAACTGCGACTCCCCACTACGCTGTGAGGCAATTGTGGATAAGACAAGACAAGGCAAGACAAGGCCGGTTTGTGTCAAGATGGCGGGACGTGTTTCTCTCTAGCTCGGCGCATATCGGTTGATCGACGGTCCGACAAGCTGTCATCGCAAACCACCAATTGTTGTAGAATCAGATTTCTGGTACAGAATAGTAAACATTTAAAAACATTTTATGTGTTGCATCTTTCAGTCAGTCTGCGGTAACTAATAACTAGAAATGAAAGAATCATAAGTGTTATAACAAGTAACTAAACTTGGAAATTGTCACTGACAGCTTAGTTAATGCATGAAAGCTGCATTAGCTTTCAACAAAATCAATCGTTCCATGTTGTCAGTATTAAGGACGTGTATGCGGGTGTAAGGTAAATACTATTCGTATTCGGCCCGACTGCAACTATTCGGCCGAATACCGAATAGTCAATAGGTCCACTATTCGGCCCCGAAGCGAATACGAAGCGAATATTCGGTACAGCCCTAGTTATAACTGGATATAAGGTGATCATCTACTTACTGTTGCAGAACCTGGTTTTTACTGAATTGTGCCATACATTATTCCTCACTTTATTGATTCTGTGATATCCTACACCATATTGAATTTCATGTTTATAACAGCAATGGATATCGGAACTTACCGGCTAGTCTGCATAGATTATGAAGGGATAAGTGCGCTGATATTACCCGGCATTGAACATGATGATGAATTAGTTAGTTAGTTAGTTAGTTAGTTAGTTAGTTAGTTAGTTATTCCTCTTGTGCCAAAGATGGCGCATAGGGCAGAGGTCATAGCTTTCCACGTCTGTCGGTTCGTTGCCACTTGATGTAGGTCTTGAGTGCGACTGAGACCTATGGTTGAGCTCTCCCTTGTGATGGTTCTACGGAGAGTTTCTTTTGGTCTTCCCTGTTTTCTTTTACCCTCTGGTGACCATATGAAGGCTTGGTGGGGAAGTCTCTGTATGTCCATTCTGAGTACGTGACCGATGTAATTCCAGCGACGCATTCTAATAAAATCAGACACATATTTTTGTTTTGTTTCCTGTCTTATAGATGTATTGGACCTAAAGTCCGACCAGTGAACATTCAATAGCTTTCGGAGGCATCTATTCTCGAAAGCGACTAGTTTCTTATCGATTGATACTGATGATTTCCAACTCTCACAACCATAAGTTAGCACTGGGATCACACAGGAATTGAAGATGAATTACAAGGTATTTAAGTGTCGTGCAGGCGAATTGTGTGGGACTACATTGATTGGCAAGGTTATGTCTGGTGTATGGCCACCAGCTTGTGTCTGATGCTTTAATTACCTTGTGTTTTACGTCCGTGGTCGTGAAGTCTGCATTGTAAAGAGGTTAACTGACTGGGCGCGGGCATTTGTGTTGTCGTACGTCAATTTGCAATCTGTGCTCTTGATAAGTTCAATTTCGGCTTGTGGTTAGTTAACTTGTTTTCGTTGTTGAGAATTATCTGAAGATACCTTATTTGTGCTGTTCCTGGCCAATGGATGAGCTGTGCGGTGTCTTTTACCTTAATTTGATACAACAAGCGACCCAGAGTATTCTTTAAATCGTCTTTTAATGAAACTAGGATAGTTCATCATTAGTGGGTACATTGTGATAGCCAGGTTACTAACAGTTACGTGTCAGCCTTTATACTATTGGAAGCCGCCATCTCTCTCTCTCCACAGAACGACTAGACGCCTACTGAGCATGAACTTCGTAGCTCTGGTTACGACTCCCAGGGATAAAGTAAAGATCTCTTTTACGCCTTTAGGCGCATCGGGCTTATGGGAAGAGCACATATTTGTGCAGGCCAATCGGCACTAGGTGGGTAATGTGGTCAGCATTACGATGGCGATCTTTACTTCCCCAGGACATACATTCTGGTCCCCAGTTTAGGCTGGGTCGAACTGTGACGCCCCATGCCATGATAAAAATCCACGCAGCCAGCAATGGGTTTCGATCGTGGCACATTGGAATGACGAGTCGGACTCGCAACGCCTAAGCCACGAACGCCGCTCGATTCCCAGGGATCCTCGTAAAAACTGCACTCGTGAACTAA